CACCTTGACAGGTATGTTCACTGTCAGTACATGTGCACTGCAGCAGTGCCAGAATTAAACAGAAAAAGTGAAGATTTGCTATGTAATGGGGAACATCTAAAAATGTCAGTTGTGCCCAAGCAGTATCCTGAAAAATGTATTATTTGTCTTGAATTTATATATTTATATACAGTACACATCATGTGCTTTCAGTATTACAGTTGTTTATCTGCAGTCTGAGAATCTAAGACATTATGGGGTTTATTTACTAAAGCTGGAGAGTCCAAAATCAGACTCCCTTCTGCATAGAAACCAATCAGCTTCTAACCTCAGCTTGTTCAATGAAGCTTTGGCAATGAAACCTGGAAGCTGATTGGTTTCTATGCAGAAGGGAGTCTGATTTTGGACTCTCCAGCTTTAGTAAATAAACCCCTGTATGTCTGTGAATTCTAGTCTTTGAAATGAGATTTGATGAATTCACAACTGTGTTGCCCACTGTTGTCCTGCTGCTACTTCCTGATTATTCCTCTATTATTACATTGTCCTCTGCTTGCCTTTTTTTGGGCACAACTTCTACATTTCAGTTCCGCTTTAATGTTGGTCTTTCCTTCTGCTTTTCCTGCTTTTCAGAAGGTAACAGGAAGCTGACATCAAGACCAACAAGGGACCTATACTGCTTGTATTTATGATTTTTTTTTCTTTAATTAATACATTGATTAAAAATACCTGGAGCTCAGCCTTAATATGCCAGAAACACAGAAAAGCCCTGCCAGTTCCAACCAAGCCTTGCTCCATTTCCTTGAGATGAATCACTGAGTCTAAAAATGGCTTCAGTGAATGAGGCAGAATTTGGAGATGATAATAGCTCATATTTGTTGCAGTTTAAAATTTTGAATTGCAGCGGCCTAAAGCTTTAAGCATATGTCCAACAAAAACCTTTTCCTAGTTTGGAATAGACAGATAGCAGTAAGAAAAAACGACTGGAATTTTAGCCCATTCCCACTCTATCCAAAACTAGAAAAAACATATTTGGCATGACATACACGTTAACATTGCTCCACCCAAACCAAACTCATGTTATGAAACAGATCACAAACATACAAAGCATACTATAGCAAATTCACAGCCATTCCAGTATTTGCCATATTAGGGTTTTTGCATAAAAATCGATACTGAAAGGTGTGCATTTGTGATCCAACATGTTCGTACTATACTAGTATCACTTATAGTAGATACACAAATAGATTTTCATGCTGACTATGGGTAAGGGAAAATTGATACTGAAAGGTGTGCATTTGTGATCCAACATGTTCGTACTATACTAGTATCACTTATAGTAGATACATACTTTGATTTGCATGCTGACTATGGGTAAGGGAACTGGGAAAAATCGGCATACATTATTTTCATGCAGGAGTGGGACATCATAATGTGTACTATCGAAAGTGGACATTCTTTATAGATTACCATCCTGCTTCTTATCAGTTATTCAGCAATGCACCAGCTCAAGGTAATAATGTGTTATTTTATGACAGGAGTGTAGACATTAGCATGATTCATTTGTATGTCACTGCTCACTAATTGTCCTACTTTGTAGAACTTCACAGACATGTCTGCAAATGTCTATGACCATCCTCTGCCTCCCTTAATAGATCCCTGCAGAATGCTCACCTCGTGGGATAAGTGTTATAATTGTTCATGCTTAAAAAATGGAGCTGAGATGCATTTGACCTTCCTGTCATACACTTAACAAATGTCTTCTCTTTCTCTGCTTGTAAGTCCTCTATAGGACTGGAAATTATATGGATATTTACACAGATACCCTCATCTTCCTCTTACTGCCTTATTACTGTCTTTAATGTATCCCGATGAAAACATATTATTTTATTATCTTATCTGTGCGTAATTATGTACCTTTTCGATATCTTTTTTAGTTCCAGTTAACATACTATTTCTTAAGAGATAGTTTCTATGTTTACATTCTTAAAAATATGGAAGCCAAAGTAGCAATGTTCATAAAAACATCCAAGTCCAACATTACTGTACATTACGCCATAAAGCTGTTCACTGTACCAGCCAAGTGTCTGTAGAAAAAAAAAGATTTTTTTTATGGCTTTTTTTTTACTTTAGTTATGTGTCTCGTTTCAGTAACCTGCATAATGCCCTTTTAATTCTATTGCTGGACTTAGTGACAAGTGTCCAAATAACTTGATATGGCAAAAACAGAAAAAAAAAAAAGATGAAAAACATAAAGTTTACATCGGTACTCAAACAGCAATTATGGGTACTCTTATTACAATTCAGGCACAAAATAGTACATGTGTATACCTTTTTATGTATCCTTCTGTTGTCCCAAGCCCTGGGCTTCTTATTAGAGCCATACCAATATAACTTCCAGCCTCACACTCCCAGAGATTTTTCAGCTATTCAAACAACAATCCAAGAAACAATGATTGAGAGTGCTTGTCATTGGGGCTCTTTAACTGCACAGTTAAAGTGGTAGTAAAGTCTGAAAAAAAACGCCTTCCCAGTGCATGCTTAGGAGATATTCCCTATACATAGAGGTAAGCTTTATTATACGCTTACCTGTAGGTACAAATCACCAAACAGTGTTTACTACTGCTTTAACCTATTACACATAAACAGTCACTGCCCCTGCATGTCTGTTTTTTTTTCTCTATTCGTTGAACGGGATGTCTTTTTTTCAACCTAACTATGTACACTATGTTCAAATGGAAGCATGCCCCGTTTAAAGTGTCTGGTGCAATTCTGACCTTTTCAAAGAAATGTTTTATATCACTTGCTATCACTCTCAAACAGAATTGTAACAGTTTACAATATGGTATCTCCTTACAATGGCAAATATTTTTTTAACTTTTGATTAAAGCAGTCAGAAATTCAGCTTAACAATTTTAATACAACATTTGAATTAAAAGAAATAGGGTGCAAGAAAGTATTCATAGAAAAAAATTACAAAAGCAGACAATGGGCATCAGTAAAATAAAAGAGAATACAAATGAATATTACCTAAGCAAATTTTGTCTGGTCTTTAACTCCATGCAGAGTCCAGTTCATTTGCAGAGTAAGCCCAATCTGAAGTATCAGAGTAATCATCTCTCAAAAAAAAACTAGCAGTCCTTTAAAGTTCCAATAGTAAGAGCTGCAAATGCAGCCATCTTTTTCGTCTGAAAATGGGTGTTTACAAACATAAGATAACCAGTCAAAGGGTTTCAGGGGTGCTGAAGGGTTTTATTATGCTCTGCAGACACACCCTCAATGGCAATTTTTTTTAAAATGCATCTATATTGCCATTCTGACAGAATTGTACAATCCAACAACCAACATATTATTACACAGAATGAAATGTATGTCTTCTCTAGAATGTGTAATATGTCCCATCAGCATTCTGCTCCTTGTAATATTGGTGTGTTTAGAGTTTAACTGGTTGTTTTCTTCCTCTACATTAGTGTAACAACATTTTATGAATGTAATGCCATCATAGGAGGAATTATGGATTTGGTATAAAGCTTGGCTCTGGTACTCACGGATGTGTATTTGCTTTCTAGACTGATTTATGTCCAGTTGCATGACAGCCATTTATGACTGGGTCATAAAGAATATTTTTCAGATCCTGAAGTTTGATGTTTCTGCATTTCTTTTAGCTAATTTGCTTGTGTTTGTGTTAGTGTGTCTGAAGCTGGACTGTAATGTGTTACATGCCTTGAATGTCTAGTACAGACATGAGATTTAAAGCAGGCTGATTTGTCAATGACTTGGAGAAAATTAGGGTGTCTCTGTGTCCATTATGACCTATTCTCCCCACTCAGTTTGGGGTTTGTCAGACCTCATTGTCATGATATCATGTATTAGCCCCACTTCCCACCACCTCCTGCATATTTATGTTGGCTAATACGTTTACCTAATATAGCGATGGACCAATATAAATATGCAAGAAATAAGAGGCAGTGAGCCCTTACAGTGCCATATGGATCCTAACAGGTGTCAAATGTGTACTTTTGCTATTGCTTTTTACTCTAATGTTGTAGTCCTATGGGTGCTTTCTTTGAACAATACACTACTCTTTTGAACCAAACATTCAACATAATGAGTTATCAGCCTTTATCCAAATAAGTCAAAGGATATGTATAATGTTTTTTGTTATACATTTCTTTCTTTATTTAATACAGCCAGGACTAAGTAAACATTTTAAACTATGTTTCCTATTTTGTAAGGTAAATATTTAATATTACACATGAATATTATGTAGTCTTCTTTCTAATAAGCAGGTGGAACTCCTTTTTAGGAGTTCTTTAATTCTTTTCACCATCTGCTGTAGAAAGCTTGTTGTTTATGGAGCTCAATAGCTGAAGCATACAGTCTTGATCTAGGGGGATGCATTATAAGACAATTTGTTTTTGTATAACATCAGGCTCATGAATAGAAGAGAAAATAACAGTATATGAAAGGAAAGCATGTGAAAAGCATATGACTGAGAAGAATGCAAACTGGAACGTGAATGGACCCTTTCTGTGTTCTAGTCATACAGCAGTAACTGAGGCTACAGTGCAACATTCATTTTGAATTTATTTTTGGTGGAGTCCTGTTTTATTATTACTAAGGTGTTGACCTGTTACCTTTTAGCATGGAATGGGTAATTTACTATTGTGGAGCTGTTGCTTTCCACATGAAGTGGATAATTAACTTTTGAGAGTCTTTTTATACATATTTTTTAGTTCGCAAAGTGTTAATTTCTCACTCTCTCAAATGGCTCCTTTTCTTTTTAAGGATCTATTGTATGATGTTTGTGATTTAAAAAAACTTTGCATGGCAATGAAGGAACAGCAAGCCTTTTGCTCTAGTGTATGAAACCTGTAGTGTAGTTTGCTTAAATACATTTTTCTTACATACATTTTCAATTTCAATGTACTTCCAACATTCTCATTTTAAAATTAAATGAAACACTTACAAAATAACAAAGGAATTATTATCAAATAAACTGTTCTTTCTCTTGTTCTTCTTCCCAAGGACATGGAGGAGTCAATCAACTAGGTGGTGTGTTTGTAAATGGCCGACCTCTTCCTGATGTAGTACGTCAAAGAATAGTGGAACTTGCCCATCAGGGTGTACGACCGTGTGACATTTCAAGGCAACTACGGGTCAGCCATGGATGTGTCAGCAAGATCCTTGGCAGGTAACACAATGCAGCTTATGAAAAATATTACATAGCATATGAAACATTTCAACATACTGAAAAATGCTGCCATAGTAATGCAATATTAGACATGATCTTTAAATAACAAAGTCTAGGATTTTATTTTTTTTTTCTTTTTTGGCTATACATTTTGGCTTTCAATAGGTAGAGAAAATGAAAAATAAAACAACAAATTAATTTAAGACATATTAGTGCATGTGTCATTTAATTTTGTTAATGATTTACTACTTGAGTTATTAATTGGCAAGTAAGGAGATTTTTACTTTCTGGGTAATGTTCTTCTGCATTCTTCTAAGGCTTTATTAAAGGTGTAAAACTGTCAAGAAGGCTTGTCCAGGTAACTATGTGCCAAGTTTTATTTTCTGCAGAGGACACTTTGAACAAAAATACTGGGGCATTTTGATGTGCAAACAGATATCTGGTCACTAACCCTGCCAGTACCACCTTGACCCATGAGCCAGTGATCATGGAAGGTGGATACTGTCTGTATATCTGTATCCGCAGCATCAGTGGCTCAATAACGTTTTGTTACTGATGATTAAATGTCGGTTTGAGATACAGATTATGTTTAACTTTATCATATTTCCTTTGATTTTGGATTTTGTTCTTATAAACCAGATCTTTTTAAACAACTCACTTAAGTGTTAACAGCACAACAGACTCTATAAAACCGATACATTATGGAGAAGTAAAAGTTATAAGTGTAGAGCCACATGGAAAATTTTTAGGAGCTTAGCTGACCTAACGAAATTGCTAGTGATTAATTGCTAAGACTAGTACTAGTACTAAGACTATGGTGACACTTGTACAAGTGGAAGGTAGTAGCTAATAAAGTTTCATGATCTCGCTTTATTCAACCGTGTGCGATTTTTCATCACAACTGTACATACTACTTGTGTTACTTAAAGAGGAGCTCCAGTCTCCCACACAAAAATTATAAGTCAGCAGCTACAAATACTGTAACTGCTGACTTTTAATATAAGGACACTTACCTTTCGAGGGATCCAACGATATCCTTACCCGAGCCAATTCTTCAATCTGCTTTAGGTGCAGGCACTGGCATCTTAGGTAAGGAAAACCGGCAGTGAAGCCTTCCAGCTTCACAGCCAGTTTCCTACTGTGCATGTGAGAGCCACGCTGTGCTTTGTGAAAGGTTCTGCAGTCTTCTGGGACCTGTGATGTGTCACAGAAGGCTGCGGGGCGAAGGAGGAGGGGGCCAAACGTCTGCTAAGATAGCCGTGGCAATTTGATTGGAAGTGGGAGTGGGTACCTGTCAAAACCAGGTACCCGCTCCCCCAAAAAGGTGGCAGTGGAGGGGGGAATGCAAACAAGCAGAACTTTGCATTTTGGGTGAAGTTCTGCTTTAACCACTTCCCTTCCGGCCCATGTATATAAACAGCCGGATGGGAGCAGTGCAGGAGTGGGTGGCCATTTATAAACGGCCTCCCCACTCCCTGCTTGTGCATCCTCCCTGGGGCACAGTGGAACACTGATCATTGTACGGGACCTCTGTGTGAGGTCCCGATCATGTGATCACTGATTGGCCAATCAGTGATCACATGAAGAGTAGTAAGCAAGGTGTAACTTCCTGACATCATTGCTTGCTACGTGTGAAATCTGTGAATGATCACAGAGGTCACATGATGCAAGGCTATTCACAACAGCCTTGTACCATATGACAAGCTGTGACCAATCACAGATCACACAGTATTTCTCAATGGCTGCAAGAATGCAGACAGAGAGAAGGAGAAATGATTGCTTTTACAGCCTTTATGGGTGTAAAAGCAATCAGTGTAAAAAAAAAATCTTCATCACCCCCCCCACAAGAAGTACAGTGTCACTATGGTGACACTGTACTGCTATTGTGACAGTATTTTATTTGCAAAATTTTATAAGAAAAACACTTTTTTTCAAAATGTTTGGACTTTTTAATTTATATAGCAAAAAAAAAAATCCCAGTGGTGAATAAATACCACCAAAATAAAGTTTTATCTGTCTCAAAACAATGCAAAAAAATTCATATGGGTACAGTGTTGCATGACTGCGCAATTGCCATTCAAAGCGTGATAGCGCTGAAAGCTGAAAATTGGCCTGGACAGGAAGGGGGTCAAAGTGTCCGGACTTGAAGTGGTTAAGAAATTAACTTGTTCCCACAGTTTAGTGTGATTACTAGTAATAGTGATTACTATTATTATCTCTATATAGCTTAACTGAACTGAGCTATTAAAAATAGCCCATGTAACTCTAGCCTATATACTCTTTACCCTAACTGTCTTTTTGAAGTATCCACAGGCACTTAATTCTATAGAAAATTACCCAATAATGTTCTACAAGCATTTTGTAGTGTGCCAAAAAATATAGACCTATAGGGGTTTATTTACTCAAACTGGAGGGTGCAAAAGCAGGCTCACTTCTGCATAGAAACCAATCCAGCTCAATTGAACAAGCTAAGGTTAGAAGTGAGCCTTATCTTGGACTCTCCAGCTTTAATAAATAAACCCCATGGTGACATGTGCCTAGAATAGTGACCAATCTGGCTTCTGTTTGGTGCACCTTTCTGATCTTGCAAACAAACCCTAGTTTAGGCCCTCTCCTTTTACCTAGAGCAAATCACAATTGGTTTGAAGGACAGGAAATTTAAATCTATTGTAAATATACAGTAAATTCCAATATAATTAATTAACACCTCTGCCTTTTTGCCTGTAAGTATGAAACGTGTCATATGTACATGGCAACTACTTAAATGTTTGTGAAACACAGAGTTAGAAATAGCCAATGAGCACACATTCAGACTGTGTAGAATCTGAGATGAGAAAAAAGTGGTCATTGAGTGGCACAGTAATCCAGCCCTTATGTACAAGTCAATATCTCTCCATTCAAGTTAGGCATGACAAAAGTACAACAGGACAAGAATGGGTACAATTACTGTATATAAGTTAGCATTCTGAAGTTAAGCATGTTGATTTGTTTCATTTAAGCTGTCAGCAATAAATTGGAATTTCATAGCTCATTATTTGTATAAATATTAATTACAGTGAAACCCTGTCTTAGTTTACCAAATAATATTGCTCTGTAATCAGAGATGTCAGTAAAAAAAATGAATGCAATTAGAAGATGAATTGATTTCATAATAAACATACTGCGTTACTGTCGTATGTTTGAACTCTTTTAGAAAGTTCACAGTTGGGTTGTGTAAATTTAGATTTGTTTTCTTCCAAGTAATATTATGTACATTAAAAATAGTCAAGGCATATTATTATATTTTATATTGGGCCTTATGTATACTTCAATGTTAAGGTAGTGCTGTCAGTGTAGCCTACACATTGTCAGAGAAAAAATATGGGGGCCGCCAATGTTGTCTGTTTAAAGGGGGGGGTGGGGGGTGATGATCCTTTACCACCTGGTGAGTCAATGTCCCAAAAAAAAGCATGCAGCTTACTCACTAAATTATGAAGCAAGAAAAACAAGGTATGCTTATTTACAACTCTGAGATTCTGGCAACATTTTTTTTACTGTAGAAAAACACTGTAAACATAAATCTAAAGTAAATCCACAAATCTCCATAACCCCTAACCCCAGGCCAACCCTCATACTTAATCTTCCTATTTCATGAACAATAAAATGTAACCTGTCACATGCCTGATGAAAGGGTTCTGCAAGGCTCCAAAACATTGCTTCTGCTGTAACAATGTGATCTCCAAATAAAGCTTTGGACCCATTCTGGAGATCCATGATGTGCTGGTTACATTGTCCCTCTCTAAAATGTAACCTAACCCTTAAATTAGCCCTTAATACTAACACTTTAGCTTGAGCCCATCCCCTATCATGAGCCATCCTCACTTTTTCAAAAAATCGAAGTACACATACCTTTTTCCTAAGATTCTTTTGGTTGATCTATCTCACAGGTCCTTCCTTATCTTTTCTGGCAACAGCTGTGGAAGGTCCTTACTACTACACTAAACTGCTCTCATAATATGACATATTAGTCCTGTTAAGGTGCACTAATAATGATAATTCAAGCCCAGCCTGCATGAGGACTTCATCCCCAGGGTCAAGCTCCATGATAGGCTGGGCTCAGAGGAAATAGGCTGAATGATGCCATTATTCAAGCAGAAAAACCAAGGACATCTAGGGGTGGAGTTGAAGTACTCAGAGAAACAGCTCCTGATCAAAGGTGAGCATTTCAACCAAAGCTTTTTTTTCACTTTTAACTGTGCTGGGCTGCATATTTGTTAGATTTTTTTCTAAAGCTGGAATTCAGCTTCAACACTCAACCTTACCTAACAATTTGCCCCATCCTGAAACTTAACACTTACCCCCCCAAAATCTAACCCTATCCTGACTTTAACCAATAATCCCTAACTTTAACTTAAAGTGTTACTGAACCCGAGACCCTGCATCCACTATATCTGGTCTCCCACAGTACACGGAACATGGAAATGCAATTATTTTAGTAAATATAAACTGCTAAATACCTTTTCTCATCAGCAGTACATAGCAGTCTTGTGACTTCTATATGTGTCCAGCCCAGCACTAGTTAAAGCTTGTAGGAGGAATTTTCTTTCTGCTCTAGGAGGATGCAAAACCCCTGATCTCTGTCTGACCAGTGCTGATTGGCCTTGTGCTGATCACATGCACTGTCCCAAGAAAAAAAAAAACCTCTCTAGCAATATACACCAAACTGAGCATGTGCAAATGCCTATGGTTCAGTCTGTCTTATCGGGAGATAACAGGTGGTTGCTTGAAAAAGGGCAGGAACAGAGAAGTCAGGATCAAACAGCCTTTTTACACAATGCAGAGGATTAACCCCTTTGGTTCCACAGTGAGTATAACAAGCATGCTTTACTGCATATACAGACTGATTTTACTGTTGTGGGTTTAGTAACACTTTAACCTTAGCATCGATTTAACCAATCAATTCAAAATATTTTAAATACATAAAGGTGCAGCGCTTAAAAAGTTACAAATAATCATAAGAAAACAGTGAAAAATGTGTCAAAAAAATAGTCCATCCAAAAATAAAATAAAAAAAAAGTCCCATAAGCTGTGATGAAACAAAAGAAATCCAAGGACAATTGTCATGTCACCAACCACTACTACAGAAGGCTTACCAGAAAGGCATGACACCCTGGAAAGAGTGATCAATTGTGCTTTGTTAAACAATCCAGAAAGCCTGTCACTCGAATCCTCCTCCAGATCACCAAAACAGCAGATAAGGATCTTCCAAATAATAGACTTTAATTAGGGTAGCTAAACCATTCAGGATAAGGCTTGGACTCCTAGTGGAAAACATGCAAAGAAAGAACACTCCACACAGTGTAAAACCATAATCACAACATTTATTTAAAGTATGGTTGCACTCACATGTAAGCAAACATCATTAGGCATTGATTGGCAAAAAAAAAATCTAAATTTTACAGTTTCCAAAATGGCTAACGGACGTTCGTGCATGCGCAGTAGCGTGTGAGCGTGTCTCCACCCTACGCGTTTCGTGACAGGTAACTTCATCAGGGACACCAATTCAAAATACTGTTTAGTTTGCTTGCTGTGATGTGATTTAGCCTGGGTGATCTACTCATATCATGCAATGTGGTTGTTGGAGATCATGGAGATTGTTGGTAGTTCTAGCTTCTTTTTCTTTCTTTGGCTAGACTGAAATGATTAATTAAAATCTCATAAGAAAAATAATGTGAAGTCAAACAGGGTTCATACATTAAAAGACATTGTACGTGGTCAAATTGACAATTCAGTTACCTAAATAAATTGGAGCGGTAAAATAGTTGAATATGTATAGTCCAGAAATGTTTCTACTGGCTGGTTTTATCAAATTACCACATCAATAAGGGAATCGTTTCAAGTAAGTGCTTTTTGCCAGCTAACACAATTGGCTGCCAGCGTGTTTAGTGAAAATGGTCTTAAATGTGATTTGTTTCCTATGACCGTGTTTGATTAATAGACAGTGTTTTCACAAGCTTATGCCTTTATCATCATATTTATTCTTACTCCATGAGAAAACTGCACGCTAAGCTCCATTGTGCAATTTTAGAAAATGCTGCCAGATCTATCAGAATGACATTCCTTACATGCCTTTTGTCACATAGACTGTGAGTTGTGGATGCATTTTGAATGAATGTATATTTATTTTACACTCTAAAATGCCCCTTTTGACATATCATTTCAGTGTGTCCTTTGTCAGTTATATTATTGTTTGTATTAAAACATACTGTCTTTTTTTGCAGGTACTATGAAACTGGCAGTATTAAACCTGGTGTGATTGGTGGATCAAAACCAAAGGTTGCAACTCCCAAAGTTGTAGAGAAAATCGCAGACTACAAGAGGCAAAATCCCACTATGTTTGCATGGGAGATAAGGGACAGACTGCTTGCAGAACGAGTATGTGACAATGACACAGTGCCCAGCGTCAGTTCGATAAACAGGTAAGACTAGAGTAATATATCTTTTAGCAGGGATTTTTTTCTCATAGAATTGGTGCAGGAACTCCCCCTTTCCGATTCCCCCCTTGTCTCCGCCCCCTACCCTCCTATGAGCACCATCCTTTGTTTCCACCACTTACCCTCCTTCCATTACCACCCCTTTTAGTGAATACCGAAACCAAGTATCATGTTGTGGTGTTAAGTAATTTATATGGAACTCGCTAATGATAACATAAAAAGCAGTAAAATAGATCCTCTGGCGAAAACTAGCAGCGGGCAATTTTTGGTGCTTTTAGCTTTTACTTATTTTACCAGTGGCCTGGTAAGCTGATTGGTCATTTTCATGTAATACAAATTGGGACAAGAAAACAAAATCAATGGAATCTAATGGTAGACCCGTCAGATATTAAATAGATCTTGGGGAAACGATTGCTGAACATTCCTTCTAAAAATGATGGGCAGTGATTTGAACCTTGTTTCAAAAATCAAAGCACAATAAATTCAGCTCTGTAATTATTATTAAATCATTAAACATATTTTTGGTTTAATACAAGCAGTGTAATTATTTGGAATTGACTTAGCTTGCATAGCAGAGCTCAGACAGACAGTCAGGTATGCTGCAGTCCAAGGAGCATACGGATAGAAGGAGAAAGAAGAGTGCCAGAGAGTTGAGCTCACCAGTGTATAGTTTTTCTTCTCACTCTACAGTCACAAGGTGGGGGGTCTGTAAGTGAAAGTGAAACTGCAGCAAAGAAAGGTCAGGTCCCCTCCCCTGCAAGAGAGGGATGTGTTGTGGGTCAGAGCTATGTAAAGCTTAGGACTGAATGGACAGAAATGCAAAATGTTTTAGCAGGTAAACCAACTCTTACATATTTATTTCACATATGTGATTATATCTGTTTGTCTGGAGTTGAACTTTAGGTTACTGACTGACCTGGAAAAATTATGCAGAAAATGAGCTCCAAGTTTACTCCAAATTTCCAAGAAACTAGCATTTTCAGAAGTGAATAAGCAATGGCAGCTCCCATACTTTTTTGAACTTTTAATTTCAAAGTGCAACTGTCACAAGAAAATTAAAGAGGCTTCCTTTGCTGATCAAAAAGATAAGGAAAGCTGACACTTTCCTGGTGCTCAGTTAGAATATGCTCATTCTGGGTTTTTTATTTGAGAGTACTGAATTTAGCCACCAGCATTTTCAGAAGCAGGACAGTAATGGTAGCCACCATGTCATCACATGTGTTCTTTATGCAGCTCAGAGTGCTATTATCAGTAATAGATCTGTTCCCTTTTTAGCTTTCAATATTGAAATGAAGGCTATTGCCACTTTTCATAGAAGCGTGCGGACCTTTTGGGCCTGGTTCATTAAATTGTCATAGCACTTATGCCAACCTCTCAAGGTAGTGATAATTAAAATGACAGCATTGATTCTTCAAAATATAAGGGATTGTTCACACTGTTGCATTGCACTAGTGCATGTTGCGCTACAAGGCATGCAGCAAGAAGCATTGCTTGCAAGGTGTGTTGATGTGCAAATTTGAAATGAATGGCACCGCATCGGACCATGTGTTGTGATGCATTCCATGATATTGGGAATGGGCCCTTAGTATCCATAATTTTTCAAAGTAAAAAGGCCTTATTTAACCCCTCGGAGACTTTTTTTTTCGATTTCATTAACTGATACAAAAATGCTTTTCTTTATAATTGAAAAGGCCTATTTTAGGATGTTTAAAATCTCTTTATCTTTCACATGTTTGAAAAGCTACTAATTATATTGGCCACATTGCTTTTGGTATATTATAGGACCACTGGTGGAATTAAAAGAAAATTTTAATTTTTAAATATATTTGAGAATAAAAACAAATTGGGTTCAACCTAAAATCCATGTGGTGGTGCCAAATCTCAGCCAGGATATATAAGGAAATAATATTATATTTCAGGACATTTGTGCTGCGGTAAACAGACCCGCTATTGTTCTCCTGGTTTTGGCTAATTGTCTGTCTGTTTTGCTGATCTATCATGTCTAATACCCTAAGGGGTTGATTTACTAAAACTGGAGAGTGCAAAATCTGGTGCAGCTCTGCATAGAAACCAATCAGCTTCCATTCTTTGTCAAAGTTTAATTGAACAAGCTACCATGCACAGCTGCACCAGATTTTGGTAAATCAACCCCTGTGTCACTGACCAAAAGAAAGCATGCAACAAGTTAAGTCAAGATGAAGTCAGAACACCAGATGTGAATAATTGTTTCATACGCAAGGCTAAAAAAGTATTGAAACCACAGACAACAGGAAACCAGCAGTTTGATAAAGTGGCCAACAGTAGCACCCTATATATTTATTTCCAGTTCAGGTTTCCTTTAATTATTATGTTGTCAAAATGTTATAAATGAGTTGGTGTAACTGTCAAATTAACTGTTATCCTGGCTAATTTACTCTAAAGAAGATAATTAATAGAGCCACACAATTTTAAGCTTGTGAGGAATGAAGCTAGCTTTCATTTGGTCAAACTGGTGGTTTTATTAAACATTATAAGGAAAAGGGTTGTGAAAGATTGCACCTTCTTCTTCGGGGCTGAAAAGAGCAAAACAAAACTAATACAAATACAACAAACATTGCTGAGCACTCATATAGCAAAAAAAAAAAAAGAGAAAAAACCCCTAAAGCTTGTCTTATAGTAAATGAAGATGTGAGATGTGACTATAAAAGTCTGGGCAATCAAGTCTAAGTACTATATTGCAATTAAAAACAACAAAATGAAAAAAAAAAGGCATACAAGCCCCTAATTTGAAGGAGCAGCCTACTTGTCCTATCAAGCTTCCAACTCTGATGGACAATGTACAATTCCAGCCTAACCAATAGTTCCAGTGACTTATAGCCTAGTGCTTCCATATACTCCTAGGAGTTACTAGTCTAGCGCCCAGTGTTAAGATCTATAAGGAACTGACTCCCAGTTTACAGCTTACATCAGTAACTGCAATAATGTATTGGGTATGATACTCAATATAATGATTTACATTTGAGCTCTATTTGATTTACTTGTAATTAATCAAATGCTTTTTATGTTCCTCTTTAGTCGGACAGCAGCCTTTCTCAAATAATTCTGTGTTGTGGCCAGGGGCGGACTGACAACTCATGGGGCCCCCGGGCAATAGGGGATCATGGGGCCCCTGTGTCCTTGCCCAAACTCACTGGTACCTATGAAAAAGGTACCAGGGGCATCTCATGGGGCCCCCCCTACTGACCCCGGACCCTCGGGCAGTGCCCGAGTTTACAAATGGTCAGTCTGCCCCTGATTGTGGCACCATTTCTTTTGTTCCACTATGTGTAGGCAGAGTATTATTGATCTCACAGGCAGGGCAGTGATGAAAATATGGTATACAATACTCTATACTTTCAAAAGTTAGAGTAAGGGCCAATTAGAACAGAAGAGATAATCAGCAACTACACAATATTGCCAACAGTATTGGGACTCCTGCCTTTACGCGCACATGAACTTTAATGGCATCCCAGTCTTTGTCTGTAGAGATCAATATTAAGTTGGCCCACCCTTTGCAGTTATAACAGTTTCAACTTTTCTGGGAAGGCTGTCCACAAGGTTTAGGAGTGTGTCTATGGGAATGTTTGACCATTCTTCCAGAAGCGCATTTGTGAGGTCAGGCACTGATGCCGGACGAGAAGGCCTGGCTCACAGTCTCTACTCTAATTCATCTCAAATGTGTTCTATCGGGTTGAGGTCAGGACTCTGTGCAGGCCAGTCAAGTTCCTCCACCCCAAACTCACTCATCCATGTCTTTATGAACCTTGCTTTGTGCACTGGTGTGCAGTCATGTTGGAACAGGAAGGGGCCATCCCCAAACTGTTCCCACAATGTTGGGAGCATGAAATAGTCCAAAATGTCTTGGTATGCTGATTCCTTAAGAGTTCTCTTCACTGGAACTAAGGGGCCAAGCCCAACCCCTGAAAAACAACCCAACACAATAATCCTTCCTCCACCAAACTTTACACTTGTCACAAAACAGTCAGGAAAGTACCGTTCTCCTGGCAACTGCCAAACCCAGACATGTCCATCAGATTGCCAGACAGAGAAGTGTGATTCCTCACTCTAGAGAACACGTCTCCACTGCACTAGAGTCCAGTGGCGGCGTGCTTTACACCACTGCACCCGACGATTTGCATTGCACTTGGTGATGTAAGGCTTGGATGCAGCTTCTCGGCCATGGAAACCTATTCCATGAAGCTCTCTACACACTGTTGTGCTAATCTGAAGGCCACACATAGTTTGGAGGTCTTTAGCTATTGGCTGTACAGACAGTTGGTGACCTCTGTGCACTGTGCGCTTCAGCATGCTCTGTCATTTTATGTGGCCTACCATGTTCCCTTAGCTTTGTAAATATTGTGAAAATTCACTTTACAAAGAAGGCTTCCTTACATTCACTAAGCTAAGGGAAAGTGCCCTTGCAAAGCAAAAAGTGAACAACCTTTAGTAAAGCAACCGCTATATGACTCATAGGCAGTCATTTGTGCTACAGCTATCAAGAACACACTGCAGTTTCCACCATTTTACACTAGAGGGGGTTCTTGCAAAAGAGAGTATTTTAAACATAGTGACAGTGAAAGCCATAAATATCAAATAAAAATAAAAGAGTGTAAACAATAGCTTCTCCCACAATTTTAAATAAACACAGTATTATGGATAATTCAGATTGCTTAGCTGCATTTGATGCGTAAAATCACCACTTTCACTACACTCCGGTGACTCTTAAACCAATTTCTAGGTTGATTTTCATAGTTTCACTGAATCAAACATCTACTCATACTCTATTTATATAATGTTTGCACAATTCTGCATGATTTTACACTAAACCTAACTGTTATGCGGAACAAATTTTCTGAACAGATTAGAGGGAGAATGTATCCTTTTTATGGGAGTTTAGAAATGTGCTGCTTAATTCTTTAGATACACGTCAACAAACAAAATATCACAATTTAGTATTCCGAGCTATTATCA